TACTTTCGGTCTGATTTTTGCCCGCGACTCGACTGCGGGGCCAAGTCCGTATCCTGTCTGGCCCATGTCTGCGTCCAGTCTTAGAGTTGACTGCGTCTTGCTCGCATTTTGTCAGAGATCTACCTGAGACCGCTCCGCGAACGATCCGCTTAAGCCGACAAAAAGCAATGCACTCGCAGACGATTTTTTCCATACGGGGGGGCTCGCCGTAGTGCGGCGGCGCGGGCGGTTTTTGCGCTGTTCCGAAGAATTTCAGGCTCGATGCGCGGTCACTTAGCGTTGTCCGATTTTGCTCATCGAGGGCTCAAAATTCATATTTCGTCAAGCCCTTTCAGAAAAACATGCCGTGGGTATTAAATTCGACCGAGTGAAACACCCTATTGTACAGTTATCAAGACATACAGTAAGTAACATTTGGTTTTCTACACCTCTCTGTGGCAGAATCGCTATATTATTTCATCTTCATCTCACAATTCTTTTATCTTTATTGAAATAAGGGTGAATTTAATTTTAAAATTTATGGATCTTTGAAAATAAGTCAGCATATTGTGAAACAGGATCGTTTTTTTTTAAACTTATTTGTCCTTCATTCTTTTTTCTTCCTTTTATGTTGTAAATATCTCATAATTTAGTCCCATTATTTTTTACTTATGTTTCAGGCAACTTTTTCCTTGCGCATTTAGGCCTAAAACATAGACTGCAATCAGGAAGTGATTATTGTACTGAGACTGAGTTTGGCACTGGACGTCGAAAGAGGAAACCTTCCAGGAAAGTCAGAAGCAATGCTGAGAGTGATGTTGATGATCCTGAAGCCAGTGAACGGCCCAAAAAGAAAACTTTCCGCCCATCAGTGAACTCGGATTCAACATTTAAATTTTGTCCTTCAACCTCCAACTCTTCAAAAAGCTTCGTAGAAATTTCGTCTAAATCGTCATCTGTGCGTTTTGCCCAAAACACGAAAACCTTAAATGTGTCTCGGAAGAATAGAGGCACCAGTGCAGGATCTGTTGGTGAGCTCAAACAAGTTTTAGCAGCCAAAAAAATTCCAATGCTTACGCATTGCACGGTGTTCCGGTTGTGGAAATAATGTAAGTTAATGAAAGAAGATTTGAAGTTAGAAATACGAAGAAGGGAGTAAATTTTATATTTTGGGGCTGAGAGAGAACCGCAGCCTTTAAAAGCAAGCCAAACAACCCAACCTCAGCAACAATGGAGAGGCAGTTTCAATGTGCGACTACTTGTTTTTTTCAGCCTCGCAATTTTCGAAAGGGCGCAGACGCCGGGAAAATTGTTGCCAACCCCCGAAAATCTATTTATTCTGTCTTTTCTGCTGCGAACCTTTTACTAATGACAGACTTGAATGATGTTTAAATGTCTTGTCAGTGTGCAATGAGTGAACATTGGCATTTTCGAATTTTACGGCGTTTTCATTTCTTTTTATCAGGGACTTAAAATTTTGACAGTTGGTACGATGGCAGTGAGACGTTGTCATGGAGACTTTTTCTTCATGTTTTTATCATTTTCTTAGAACAGTGATTAGTTTTTGTCACTTTGATGAGGCAGGAAGTTTAGTTTTGAGGAGTGGCACATTTTTTCTTCGAAACGTTTCTGGAAAATGTGAACGGATAAGGGTGCTTGATTGTTGCAAATTTATTGGCTGAGCGATAGCGAAGCCTGTTACTCCAGTGGGGTTGAAAAATTTTTCCTGTCTGTCTGTCTGTCTGTCTGTCTGTGTGTCTGTCCGCACTACTCCTCCTGAACGGCTCGGCCGATCTCGGTGAGATTTGGCACACTTTTTGGGTATGTCCTTGGCTCGGCACACGCGAAATTTCACCATCCTAGCCCAACTGGTTCGGTTTTTATAGCCGAAAAACACTGAAAAAACGGCGAAAAATCGAGTTTTCTGTAGGCAGATTGCTTCTGTCTTGAAGAAAGGGGGGTCTGGGGGGCGGAGCCCCCCAGCCCAGACAAGTGAAAAAGTTACAAGGGTCAAGATCGAGTTACCTGCAGATGAAGCAACTCTACCTAGAATGAAGGGGGGTCTAGGGGGCAGAGCCCCCCAGCACGCAGCAAGTTAGGAAAATCGACGATGGAGAAGCCATTGCCTGCCGAAGGCAGGCTAGCGCCGCAGGCCAAGGTAGGTACGCCAGGCGCGGATTGGAGAAACAGGCAGCGAGACATCGCGAAGCCTGTTACGACAAGACGCGGTCTGGCGTAAACCTACCTTGTGTTTTAGTCGTTTACGGAAAATTTCCAGGATAAATTTTTTAGATTTTCTGGACTTTTTATTGTATTATGAAAAGGATTAATATGGCGGGAGCGAAATGTCCATCGTGGGGGGTCCGTAGAAGAAGAATTCTGAGCCCCGGGCAATAGGGGTCCTCCTTCGTCGGAACCCCTAAAAAGTGAATTGAATTCGAAGAAAATTCCTGTTGACTCACTCAAATTCCCAATTAAGAATGTTAAGAATGACAAGTCAAAGAAACTGCAGGAGAAGGGTAAAACAAGTAAAAATACAGAGGATCCCATTGAAGAATTGTTAGTGCAGAAAATTAACTCCAAGGAGGAAGAACAACAAAAGAAAAGGTTGGAAGAGGCGGAAAAGCTGAAGGAACAGTTAAGAGAGAAGGAGGAGAAACAAAAGAAGCTTTTGGAAGAGAAGAAACTAAAGAAAAAATTGGAAGAGGAACAAACGAAAAGGTTGAGAGATGAGCTGAATAAACAATTAGCAGAAGAGGCGCAAAAAAAAAATTGGAAGAAGAGAAGAAAAACAGAAAAAAGGACAAAGAGGATGAAAGGAAAAAAAGGGAAACAGATACGAGACAAAATGAGGAAAAGGAACAACAGGACAATGAGAAGTTACCTCCTGAAAATATCACTGGTTCAAATGATTCGGATGATCAACAATCTTCTGACCATTTTCATACCATTTGTGATGATTCTGGATTTGGTATGGGTTCTTCTGATACTGATCCAAAAGAGCACAACCATTCAGGAAGTGACTCTTCAGCGAGCGGCTCTCCAGGAAGCGACTCCTCATCCAGTGAGTCCTCAGCCAGTGACTCCTCAGCCAGTGGGTCAGATAGTGAGTCTTCAGATGAGTCTGACGAAAGACGCTCAAATGAGTATGACAAAAGACGCTCAGATGATGAAGAGCCTCACAGCTCAACTAAGAAAAAAAATAATCCAGAATACCGTCAACGGGGGTAACTTGGGACACCAGGGGTAACTTGGGACAGTCTGCCCTGAACAGCTTGTTGGTGCTGCCATTCAGCGACGGGGGATCCTAGCGTCAAACCCGCGGCAGGGTTTTATTTCAGAGGCCTCAGGGCACGCGCGGAAAGGTGGAAGAGGTGCATAACATCACCGTTAGTATTTGAGAAACAGGAAACTACATAATAGGGTTTTTGACAAACTATGTCAATCATTGACAAGTTGACCCTAGTGCAAGGAGTGAAATGCAGATTTGGCCGATTAGTCTCTCTGGGTTGTTAGATCATACACAGACAATAACGTTCGCAAAAGGGCGTTGATTACAGTTTTCCCATCTTCGGTCCAGACTTCAATTTATCAAAAATCGAAATTTTACGGGGTAACTTGGGACAGTCTTTTCCTCATGTTTCTAGCAGTCTTAGCCTTCTAGGAGTTGACTGACCTGGTCCCTGACATAACTTGAACTTCGGATTTTACGCTGATGATGGAAAGAGATGCCTTGCTCTGCAGTTTTGTCTTCTGGTAATCCATATTTTGAAATTTTCAGAAAATGCTTGGGTAATACCAGTCGAAAAGAGAGTTCCACGTAGAGCCCTAGATATAGTCCAATATCGGCCCTACAATAGTTCCTAGGCCTGAATAATTGGTCTACATGATGTGACTTAAATTTATTACATCCATTAACATCAATAGATGCATGGGAATGTAGCTAATTACCTACTGTCCCAAGTTACCCCCGGTCATGGGGTAACTTGGGACACTCTTTCGAGACCGCTGGGAAACGATATAATCGAGGCAAATGAACCAGACAAGCATGAAATCATGGGGAAAGGGCCAAACTTTAACATAGTTGGGATCCATTGGTCTGGGTTGAGAATCTTGCCTCTGGCGTTCAAAAAACGTGAAAAAGTGTCCCAAGTTACCCCCGTTGACGGTATCAGAACAGTGATGGTTCATCTGAAGGTGGTAAATTTTCAGGTAATAGGGTACTTCGGAGAAATCCCGAACCGGATGTGACGTAGAAATCGGGAGAAACAAAAGAGCATCGGACGACCCGGGGCGGCGGTGGTGGGGGAAGCGGAGGACCAGTATGAGAAATCGCGTTTGCGGAGTAGGCCGGCTTCGGTTTTCAGGCTGTGTTTGTTGCAGGTTGACTATTTATTTACTGCTGATAATCATTAGTGGTTGACAGTTCCTCTTGTTCTTTCGTGGTGTTAAAATAGTGTTTTCGGCGAAGATTTTCTGCGTCGGAAATGCAAGAGCATTGTTTAAAGCTGAAATACGACTTCGACCTAACCTTGTAGGTTATGTATTCAGGCACTCGTACGCACTTTCTTTTTCCAGACGTTTTCCCTTAGGAAGTCCAACAATGTCTGCCACCATGTCAAAGGTAAATATTCTAAAGTACTAAAATTAATTTCTGTTCGACCTCTCAATGTCCTTCAATGTATCATAGTTCGGACAAAGGTTTGTAGTGATGTTGGTGATCTTTGTTGTGGTGCAGGTGGACCCTTGGAAAAACACGGACCCTCCTGATATGTCTGTTGTGATCTGTGGAGATAGTCTGCAAGTAACATGGAGTGATGTGGACCACGTTCACTGTGGCCTCTTCAATTTCGGAGAGTCCTGTTACATGAATGCGACTGTTCAGGTATGTGTTGTCATGGAAATGTACCGAGCTTGACTTGGCATCGTATCACAGTCTAACATAAATTTATTATCTATTTGTTTAGGCCCTTCTTCACCTTCCGCCCTTCATTCATCTTGTTTGCACTCTGTCTGGCCAGCATAGAAGAGGCGGCAAATCTTCATGTGATTGTGTTGTGTGCGCCTTCAATACAACATTCTCTGAGATGAAGGCAACAACATCCATTCTTTCTCACCAGAGTTTGGCTGACAAACTCCCAGGTACATTCCTTGCCTCAAGGTAAACCCTGCCGTATCTTTCTATGAAACATGTAAGTCTATTTTAAACCTCCTATTTCTCTCAGTGATAAACAAGAAGTTGAAGCTCAATAAGCAGGAGGATGCTCAGGAGTTCTTGATTAGCGTCTTTGACAGGATTGTGCATGAGGAGGTTGTGCGTCATTCTGAAAAGTATGTATGATGTATCAAAGTGCCCTCTGTACCAACAGTGTCACTTGTGTAAGTATTAACACTTTTTATGTTTGGTTGCAGGCAGTCACTCTCCTATTGCGCTAAACTCACGACTGGCATTGATTCCCTGTTTGGATTTTGGCTGGAAACAACAAGTCAGTTTCATTTTAATTGCAGCTACATGGCACTTTGCATTGAAACTATTTTTGAAGGAAATCGTTTGATTTACAAAATGTTTATTTATCTACAGGTGTCTGCCTTGGATGTGGGGCTTCGCACACCACTTACAGCAGTCACCGCCACCTTCTTATTCCCACTTCTGGCAAGACTGTCCAAAAGGGCATAGATGCTGTTATGTCCAATACTGAAACTGTACAGGGGTATGCATGTCCTGCCTGTCATGTGAAGCAAACTTGTTCGAAATCCTTACAGTTTCACACGTACCCAAAAACTTTGGTTGTGACTGTAGATAGGTAAGAAGTTTATGAATGAATTGTATTAAAAAATGATCGTAAACCCTCAGTTGCTGCTGCCAACTCCCCTCGGTTTCTTGACTTATGTAGGTTTAAGTCCAGAATTTTAAATTCCTCCTAGTTTCAAGCCTTCAGCTCATGGCAAAAGGTTTTTTTTTTTAGTTACTTGTGAAGAAAGCATAGACTGTTTGCAAAACCTTTGCTTACAGACATGTGGCCTACGCTATCTTTATTCATACATTGCTGTTATTATCTTTATTATTGTCTATAATAGTAATAATAATTTGCTAAGCGTCAAAAGTTGGAATTTTTGTAGGCAGGAGTTAGGAAAGTTTGGGGGAACGACCTTGTTTCTTCGGAAACCATTACAACTCCGAAAGCTATTGACATTTAGAACCCATGAGGGTGGTGAGCTACTAAAAAATTCTGAAACCAAACTGCTGCCCCCATTATTTGATAAAATGGTGTTTGTATGTTTTACTTATCTCATGCCCTATCTTTTTTATTTCTTCCTTCAGATTTGTCAACAGTGAGAACGATTCAAAGGATGGAACTCCCCTGGTCATGAACCGCAAGATATCTGTGGGAACAGCAACCTATTCATTCAGAAGCAGTGTCATCCATCATGGTCCAGTCAAAACCGCAGGGCACTATACTTGTACAGCAGTCTGCCCCGATGACTCATGTGTGGAGTTAAATGATTGTGAGGTAAAAATCTTTTCATATTTTTTAAAAAAATCTTATTCTACAGTGCTGTGGAGAGAAGAAAAAAAAACATTTCACTCATTACTGCTGTCTGTTACAGGTGAAACCTCACTCAAATAGTGCTCAGGCATACGCAACCCTAATTGGTTCTTATTTGATTTTCTATCAGCTTGAAAGCAATATGGTAAGTGTCCTATTTTTATTTTTATTGTCACTTGTAGTGCACCTGTTCTCCCCCCTCATTTATCTATTCTAACCCAATCTTATTTCTATTACAGGTATTGAAGGTGGTTAAGCGGTCAAGGATACCAACTCCCACCAAATTGAGTCCTGCGTCCAAGAAGTGGAAAAGCCCTTTTGAGAAGAAATTGAGTGGAGGTATTCTCCAACACCTGTCTCCAAAGAAACCTGGAAAGACTTTGACGTTTGGGAAATCGATCCTGAAACAATGTGCTTCTGCTTCAGAGCTTTTAGCTGAGGTGAGAAATTTAACTTGTGTTGTGCTAATTTCCACATCCACACTTAAAACTTGCTCGCATTTTTATATATTTTTTCACGTGTAGCCATTACAGTCTGACAACAGTGATCAATATCATAAACCCACCAACAGCAGGCTACCCAAGCAAGTTCATAAGTCAAATGAGCAAAATTTGAGAGCAGCCTTGCCCAAGGACACTTTGTCACAGTCATCTCATGAGTGTGCCATCCCAAGACCTTTGACTAAAGCTGAGATCTCCCAGGGGAGTATGGTGCCTCTTGTACAGACCCATCTTCCGAAGGGGAGTGTTAATTTATCTGTTTCTCAACATTTGAATCGTGAGAAATTTGTCAAAGATTGTGGCATTCGGAACAATGGAGGTACTTCCCATATTTGCGCTGCCCTGCAGGTAAGAAACTTCATCTCATTAGCTTCATGTATATGTGAACATCTCTTGATTAAGTCTTTTCCTGCAGATGTTACTCCATGTGCCAGAAGTATCTGCATTTGTTATGGCTGATGTGCACAGGAAGACTTGTCGCTCGTTTCTTTGCTGTTCCTGTGCTCTTTTTAAGCAGCTGAATGACTTGCTTTTGAGGAGATGCTCCCTCCCCTCTTTTTTCATTAATATGTGGGAAAGTAAGCCATAATTTTGAGTCCTTCTTTTTATTTTGTTTTCAGTTCATTCCATTAATACTCTTTTTTGTTCGATTAGGGCAGTGCAATAATATTTCTGAGGAGCTGCATCAGAGCTCATTTGAATTTCTTTTCCGGCTTATTACAACACTGAGATCGGAACAATACCAGCAAATGGAGAATGAAATACGGTACGGTGGATATCAATTTATTAGGCCTGTGGAACCATCACCCTTTTCCTGTATTCAATTTATGTGTTGAGGAATTATTAATTTTTTGGTTTGCTTTTCAACATTTATTTAAGTTATGCTGCTTTTTCTACTATCACATACCCTGTTACATATTATTACAATGTATCTTACCAGCATTTCATTACAGATATCCCAAGTGTTCCATATGGGACACCTTATACTCTCATCTGTTTAGTGGAAGGCAGATAATCGAAGGTATGGCATGGTATCATTGCTGGTGATGGTTGCTGTCTTGACTTGAAGTTAATTTCAGTGAATATACAATTTTATAAATTTATTTCTGTAGCCTCACAACATTCTCACTCAAATGTTCAATATGATCTATTCTGAATGATTTATTGCAGTGTGGTGCAAAGAGTGCAGTCTACAGAACCTCCCACAGGAGTTTTTATCAGTTGAGATCCAATTACATAAGGATAAGAATACAGCTTTTGAAATTGAGAAGAAATTGGCTGAAAGGATGGAGAATTTGTTGTGTTGCACATGCAATAAGAACACATTGAGCTGGAAGCCTATTTCTATAACAATGCCACGTTACTTATTGGTGCACATGTCACTGAAGTAAGTTGGCTCATCTTTATCTGTGTTACTTAAAACGTGTGACTATGTTTTATCATCCAGTTGCAGGCTGGAGTTTTCCCAAGTTCGGTGTCTTTCTGTATATGGTATAAAGTTTCAACTCAAGTCTTTCATTACCCAAGCTACAACATCACCACAAGCATTATTCACTACAGTGTGTGAGGAAGGGGTCAGTCTACAATTTGAGGATGCACAGGTACGTTGGGTGTAGTAAGGTACTTGTCATTCATATTGTTCTATATTCTGTAAAAATTCTATATAAATTCCATCAAACAGCTCTTGATTCAAACATAATATTGGTTCTCAAATACAGAAGTCCAAAAACAGTAAAATGTTTTGGTACTGGAATAGTTCAGTACAAGATTACATAAAATATAAATTCACAAAATGTCTCATATAGCCAATAACAATAGTTACAATAATATTAAAGAGACGTCAACTGATTGCATACTTTACAAAGTTGTAAGTACACTGACTCTAACGAAAAAATATTTCTTTACAGGTCAAGAAACTTGGTCCAGCTACAATGAACAAGAAATGCTTCCCTCCCCATTCATCAATGACATTAATGTTTGTCCAAGCAACAACAATTACCACAGTAAGTTAAATACTATACATTAAAACATTAGAAGTGTTCTTGTTTCAAAATGAAAATTTCTTTTCAGCCGCCTTCCGCTGAACATGCTCTGTCCCACCATCATACCATCAACTGGAATGCCGGGTTGGCAAGCAGTATGGATGCTGCAGAATCGTCTGACATGCACTCCTCACAAGAGGTAACACAGGAGATTATATCTTGATGGCCGTGAGGTTTCTTGGCGTCTTCATGGCAAAGTATTCTGGAACCATTATTTCCCAATGAAATAATGCCAATTTTTTCCTGATTTCTTTCCACAAACTTTCATTGAAGGGAACTGTTATGAGAATTGAGCCATATTTGCTCCAAACAAAAAAGTCACATGATGAGCATTCTGTGAGACCCATCCCCATTTGAATTTGGTAATAATATTCATGAGTTTGCTTCAGCTCTAATTGTCCATTTGAATTTCTTGTAAGGCAGAAATTACTCATCTGTTTCTTGTTCAGAACATTTTCAAAATTATTGGGATCCTTTTCACGCAAAGTGTATGGGCACTTAATTTCAAGATTTCTTGGAGGGCTTCTGTCAGAAATAACTTGGCCATCAAGGCTACATGCCAAGCCTAAATATTCTGTGTGAACATGCAAACCTGTAGTGAGCACTTGTACAGTGTCATCCACTGCTCTCTTCTTTTGGATGTATGCTTGTCGTGCTTTTTCTTCATGAGAATTTCCATAGCTGCAGGCTTTTGAGGTAAATGAGTCAAGTCCCCACAGATGTTTCCTGAGAAATTGCATAATGCTGTTGTCTGATGTCATGCGACAAATTTTTTTACAAGAAGAAGCCGTGCAGTTGAGGGCACGCACAGTTCTCCAAATTGCTGACTTGCTCTGTCCTTGGGTACCAGGAAACTCAAACGGTCCTTTGTAGCGTGGGTTTGGTTTTGACTTCGAGTAAAGTTCTTCTAATGATTCATAATATAGCCATCGGCTCTCATCAAATATCCATAAGTCTTCCAAAGTTATTGCATAATCTTCATATGTAATGGACATATGGGTCTGCCAGTAACAGGGAATTTCTTTGTATTGGAGGGCACTCAAGAAGTCATTTATTTGTTGTCTACTTGGGCCACCCTGCACAGCTGTTGGCCGGGATCAAACTGAGCTCTCCTCTTCACATTAATCTTGAAAGAGTCGTACTGACGTTCGGCTATGGCAGATGGATTGCGTTGCAGTGCTCCTTTGCCCCATTCTTGAGGTCGAGAGGTGCAGGTTATAGCTGTAGAAAACAGACATAACTTAGTCAAACAAACAATTTTATACTGTATTAGCCCAAAGCATTAGCATTTCATTCGCTTGAGCGGAGGTGTAGTTTTTTTTAATCACTTATATCAGTTACTTTCAAAATCATAACAATGTTTCATTTGTTTCTCAAGACATATTTTTGTACTAAGATCTTATCACCCATATTTCTTCTCAATACTGTAGAAATTTTAAATGTTCTATGGTAGAGCTAAAAGATAAATGCATCCCTTTTATACATCTATTTATATTCCTTCTCAGAGACACCAAAAAGTAGTTTCAGAATTATTTTCTTAACATTAATGATGTTTAATTTTTTTTTTTAAGGTAAACAAGGATTCCAGAAGAAAGGCCTTTAAGGAGTTGCTGGCAACAATCTCATGTGGAAAACACATTGGCATCCAAACTGATCTAAAGGTAATGTACAGTATTGTTGCTATTATAAAACTATAATAACTCTCGAAAAGTGGACAGTCATCATTGGCCTAACTTATTGTTTTATGTCATTTGTTGTAGGTGACGGCATGTAATGTTCAGATCCAAACTGATCTTTTTGATTATGACCGATTTAAATTGGAAGAGTCTGATTTCAAATCTTGGATTGGTCTTACTGTTGAAGATTTTGAGGCTCTTTACAATCTGCTTGGTGGTACAGAGGTTGTTTTGAGATTAAAGCAGAAATACTCACAAGCTACCCCCAAGAAAATAAGTGTTAAGACAAGAGTTTCTGGAAAGAATAGGTTGTTGCTGTTTTTGCTCCGGTTGAGACAAGGATTCACTTTGAAGCAACTCTCTTTCCTATACCGTTTAAGTGAGCCATATATAAGTGATTTGTTTTATGTCATGACATGCCATCTATATGAGACATTAAGAGAGATGAGCAAACATGTCTTTGCAAGTGCAGCCCATCAGTCAAAGAACAAACCTCGAGTGATGAAGCCCTTCAAGAATTTAAGAGTGATTTTAGATGGCGTATCCTTTAATCTTGAAACCCCATCCAATTTCGAGCAGCAGGGAAATACTTGGTCTACGTACAAACACCACAATGTTGCCTTATTCATTGTTGGAATATCGTGCCATGGAGCAACTGTATTTGCTCTCAGGGGATGGAAGGAGGAATGTCAGATAAAGTTGCTACACTAAAGAGCAATCTGATGGAATTGTTGGAGACAGGAGACTGTGTCATGGTTGACAAAGGATTCGAGCTTCAAGGTGAGATGGAAAAAATTGGGTGCACTCTTCTAAGGCCACCCACTAGGAAACGTGACAGGTTTTTTACTAAAGAAGAGGTCAACTTGACTAAAGCCATTGCCTCAGCAAGAATTTATGTAGAGCACGCAATTGCTGATATAAAGGACAATAGAATTTTCAGGGGTGATATACCTTTAACTCTTATTCCAATTCTATCCAAGCTCGTGTTTATTGCTGCATTTTTGAGAAATTTTTCACCCTCACGGATTTCCAACTTGTCTTTCAAACACGCTAAGGATGATGAAACCAAGGATGTGATGCAGGATGATGTTCAAGAATCAGCAGAAAATATTGATGACCCAGATGCTCTGTTTGAATTGTCTTTTTAATTTTGTGTCTGAATTGTTTAATTGCCATATGCTCCCTAGCAATGTTAACTGCAAGTATGTCTCGTCTGTATATAGAGGACACTGTCTGTAATGTCATCCAATGTTGCTTCTGTGATAAAAATTGTGATTTTTTTTTACTTATTAAGTAATACTGTTAATTTAAGGGTAGATGTGCATAAGAGCTGATGCCACACAATGGGTATGACCTTGTGGCGTGTGATACCTGCTACCCAATTACTACTCCAAGGGTTTGCATGCAAAGCGTAAAAAATAAAGAATTTTACTACAATTTATTTATTTTTAAGTAAGAACATCAATTGTTTCCTCATAACTACAGCAGGCCTGAAACTGCAAGGGTTAGCACATCCGAACAAAACACAAACACAAAATAGTCAAAATAGTGTTAGTAATAACATAAATTAAATAAATCAAATTCTTACTCTATATTTTAATACGGTAGTAACCCATAGTAATAACATAAATTAAATAAATCAAATTCTTACTCTATATTTTAATACAGTAGTAACCCATTTACTCACCAAACACATTTACTCACTACCAATATAGCATGCTGTCCTTAGGCTCCCAAAAATACTTCCCATAAATGTAGCAGGCCTGAAACTGCAGGGATTAGCATAATTACTCAGTAACAGAACAAATAATACTCATACTAGTGTTAGTAATAACATAAATGGAGCATATCAAATTATTCGTCCAGTGTAAGCTTTGCTGTGATGAGAAAATAGTTTGATAAATAATTTAATACAGTACCAACCCAGACAATTTTATTCTATGAGACACATGCAATTGTTGTCATGAATAGCCAAAACTACATCAACCCCACATAAAGCACCTGCTCTTAGGGTGTCTGCTTGTTACAAATAGATAATATTTTTTTCTTGTAAGAAGCGTTTACATACCACCAATATAGCATCCATTCCTTTTGCTCCCAAGACTACTCATCCGATTCCCAAAAAGCACATGCTCAACCAGAAAAACTGTGCAAAACTAAACACATACTTGTTCAGATAAAAATTTAGCAATTGGCCAAGCTCTGCAAATTTGGACCCAAAGAGGATTCTGTGTTAAAGCATAGCTGATCACTTGCAGTGATTTTCTTTTTTAAATGGTGTAAAGATTTAATGTCGTTGCCACAAAGAGGCAGATCACTTAAGAGATGGAACCACCAAAGAAGATAAGAGGTTTCAACACCAATAAAGAAGTAATGTGTGACAAAAGTTAGTTCACAGTTTACGGCCAATACCCAAATATTCCCCTGAAAGAATCACTCAGACTTATACAAGGAAGCAAAGAACGCTGTAAGTGGAGATCAAAACCAAGATGCAATTCAAGAGAATGCAAAAAGCCGATGCACTCAGATTATCATTTTGTTGTCTTATCTTACCACTTAACGCGATAAGTACATGATGATCCCAGAGCTCTCCCCCATTACTATGGTAGGAAGAAGGAAAGAGCTTCTTTCCTAATGGGCAAATGCAAGTTTTCATATTGATCTTTTTCAGAATTAGTTGACACTACTTACAAGAAAGAAAAGCTTCAAAATTTTCTAGTGCTTTTCCAGACATATGTAAATGTAATACTTACACCCGTAGCCATTGAGATGGATGTGTGCCAGTATCTGCAGCAACGCTGCGCTCACGTGACTGCACCGGCCATTGGCAGTGGCCGGGCAGGGGTATCCACAGGTTGCTTGGCATACTCCACCAGTAATTGTGGATATCGTAATGTAGACCCAGTATGCTTCGGGCTCCATGGACGCTCTCACATGGGCCTTCACATAATAATATCTTCCATCAGAACAGTCTTGGAGTCCTTTGACCCATCCACTTTTGACGTATTGCAGACCCCTTCTCAAGACCTTCACACGGAGCATCTCCTTGCACTTCGGATCAGTGAATGGGTCTTTCATTTGTACTATGTGGACAATTTCCAATGCCTCATCTGCACTCTCGTCAGAACTGGAACTGCTGCACTGAAGCATCGGTCTTGACTCTAGGAGGTAATGGAAGATGCTACCAAAGTTGAAGCTCTGGGGTATATCCCTGCTCGGGAACGTCCCAAAGCCACAATCAGGGAAATTTATTTGAGAACACTGAAATTAAATAAGAAAGGTAATCATTACTGACAGGCTTATTGAAGAGGCGTTATCAGCAATCCCCAACCAAAAGTAACTGAGGTGTGGAAAAAGAAGACCAATTCTACAACAAAGCCTTAAGTACGCAAAATGTAATCAATTTTTTAAAATTTCTTTGCTTGTAAACCCGTTGAGTTTCTATAAGAAGTTTTAAGTATAATTTCATTTTTTTCCATCAAAATTTTCTCTACATCCAATTTGAAACGAATATAATTTCTTAAAGATTCATTATTCAAAGTAATGACAAAGCTGTGGTCTTTAATAACAATCATAAATTGTGTTAGCACTTCAGGTTCTACCTGTATACTGTAGGCCATGCGAAGTCTGTCAAGTTTCCGCCTAATCCAAACACCCTTATCTGCATCTCTCCTGACTAGTGGTGGCTCCGCTCTATTCATACATTCGACAACCCTGAAAATAAAAGAGGTACAAATTTTGTACATGATTGGAGGATAGGCCAAACATTCCGCAACTACACCTGTCCATACCTTGCAATCAATGCAGTCTTATTTCCTCTCACATTTTGCCCATGGCAATACAACCACCTCTTTAGATCCCTAACCACATTTTCCTCTACAGTAGGATTTGGCAGCTTGGCGCCTGGAACATCACTTTCGGACAATACAATGTCACCTTCATTGTAGTGAGGAACTTCAGGGCGCTGTACACTGACATTTGGACTGCCAAAAGTAAAAGATTGTGCGGCTGGCAGTTCATCAACAAAATCCTGTTGATAAAGCAAAATTGTAAACACAGAATATGAAAAAAAAATGGATATCAAAATTAACCTTTCTTACATCAGCAAAAATGTCACTGCTACTTCGGTTGAGCACCTCCTGTTAACCAAAATGAACCAACAATGTCAAAATTTCAATGGGGAAATTTTTTTTGTCTAAATTTAGACAGGTAGCTCCAATTGACAGTGTTGGTGGATGCGTCTTGTAAATCATTGCACTTTCCTCCTCTCAGAAAAATTTAAAACCATCCGGTAAAGTAACCTAAATATTTTTTCAATCAGGAAATGGGCATTTTTCTTTCAAGAGTTTAGTTAAACACAAGATGTAGAGACATTTCTGTGCCTCTTTGCAATACTTGACTTTGTAAGGCATTAACATTGCAGCTGCTTCTTCCACTTCTTAACAATGGTACCTCTATTCACCAATTTTGAACACAACTTAATGAAACAATGATTATGTACCATTTTTATTTTTATGGCAGGAAAGGTGTCAGTTGAACAACATATT